AATTTACTCTAATTTTACAAAGCTCCCCTAATACAGATTCCCAAACTGGTAAATGCTGCACAAGGTCCATCCTTTTTGAACATCAATCTTATTTAGGAAAAATATTAGTAAATTAAATACATATTTTCTAAAATAGTATACAACTAAGAAACTTCATCTAGGAATAGAAAGATGTTTGAATATTAGTAAATTTATCATGATAATCAATACATTAAAAGGATAAATGATTATATATTCTGTAAAGTAATTTAATTAAATTTAATATTTATTGGTAATATTTAAAATACAGAGCTTTGCAAACAATGAATAGACATTACCTTTAACAAAAATTTCAGCAAGAAAGATACTGAACAGTGTAACATCAAAAATTCAGAAATAAGACAGAGATGCAAACTACTATAAGTACTATCCAACAGTTTTCTGGAAGTTCTAGTCAATAAAACAAAATAAGAAAAAGAAATAATAAATTAAAACATTGAAAAAAGAGGAAAAACCAGTTGCTTTTAGATTATATGAATGCAAACTTAGGAAAACCAAGTGAATTAATACATGATAATCACAGCATTCACCAAGATATATAGATATAAAAACAATACTTAAAAAACAGTCTTCTTACACATGAGAAGTTACAACTAGATAATGTAATGGAAAGAGATCCCTTCTTACAAATGTAAAATAAATAGTAAAATACTTGTGATAATGCTAAAACAATGCGGATCTTTGTAAATAAAACCATAAAGCTGTTTGGGAGTATCAACTAAGACTTACAAATGTCAGATTGCAAGGGGAAAGACATCCAATTCAAACTACCTTAATCAATGAAAAGGAAATCATTGGCTCATACAATATGAATAATGGATATAACTGGTCTTAAGCAAAACTGGGCCTAGAAACTCAAGAAGGGTCCTGAGATTTTTGTCATGCTAGATATTTATTGTTTTTAGCCTGTGTTCCTTTTGAATACTGCTTCTCCCCAAATTCAGTTATAGAATTCAAATAGAACTACCAATTATAGTGCTTATCTCCTCTTTGCAGGTAAATCACATAATTTTGTCCATAAAGCCCCTGCAATTGATTTTTTTGGGTACTGTGTAGAGATCCATTTTCTTTTCCCTTGTATTTTTCCTATTTTTTCAGTATATGTGCTGCTGAAGTGAGCACTCCTTGTATTTTCCTGATACCATTTGTGTAATATCCTCCCAACCCCCTTATCGTTGCCAAGCTGTAACAATATAAAATTGTTCTTATTACATGAGCCTGTTTCTAGGTTCTCCTCTGTTCCTGTGTTTCACCTAATCAGTTCACCAAATTATTAACAAATTTTTCTTTTGCCCTTCTCCTTACTTTCCTTTCTCTAATGTCACCTTCTGTGGTCAAGTCCATTACATTTTCATCATATGAGTGAGATTTTGGTAGAAATTACTTATAGTTCTTGTATGAGTTTCCCATTCAAATCAAAGCTTGGTAACAGAAAACAGGAATGGAGAGCTTGGTTATACCAGGAACCAGGAAAACACAAGCGTATGCATATCCAATGAAACACTGTAAAGGACTTCATACTTATACCATATTATGAATTTGGTGGTTCAAGGTAATTTAATACAAAATTTCCAGGGGCAGAAAAATTTGTCTCACATCTGGCTTACATGTGGATTTACAAAAATCCTTCTTAAATTGCCTTGCATGTGAATCATTTAATTTTTTTTTGCAAATTGTCCTGACAAATTTTGATGTCTAATTCAATTTTATTTCACTACAAAAGGAAGATATTTTTCATAGTCTTTCATTAGATATTACCCCCTAAAGTTTCCAGTGAGCTTATGTACAGAAAAGTAGTAAATGGTTAAAAATATCAAGTGATAGGTATTGCGTTCCTGGTTGGATGAGAAAGGGTGCTAAGCTCCCTAACAGATGCTCTATAATGACAATCTCAAAAGTCACTCCTTTCATTAAGATTTCTCTAATTTCTACTCTCCTTCTGATGGAAATGTTACTTTCTGATATCCCATAGCTGTTTATCCCACCAAAAGTCTTCATCTAGGCTAGCTGTGTGCGTTTGTATTTAGTGTCTTTATTAGAATTGGAACTCTGAGAGCAGTACCTGATTTAACATTTGAATTCAGTAGAGTAGTTAAGTTCGGTGTATTCCAAATATTCCTAACTTTGCAGGAGTTAGGTATTCTTACTTCTATATTGTCATGTTGTATATGCTACATACATACACAGCATAGTAATTTATTTCTTTACTTCTCTGACCCACAACATAGAACTCTCTGGAGAAAAATACCAATTTCTTTTTAGTTTCTAAGTACATATTGATTTTAAATGTCCAATAAATATATCTTTAATATGAAAAATATAATGAATGAATGGGTAAATAGCATAGTGGACAGAGGCAGGGAGACCTGAGTTAGAAAACAAGCTACACCATTTGGTGAAGTGATTCTGGATAAAGCATTCAAAGTGTAAGTGTTCTCATTTGTAACCTAGGAAGATTACATTTACTACTAGTTTGTTTGGCCTCTTTTGAAGCCCTAGGAACTTCACTAATCTGTGGTGTCCATATGTTAGAGGATTAACAGTTCTTTATAAAATCCTTCTCTAAGCAATCACCACTGTTTTCCATCAATCTTGCTTTCTTCATTATTGTCCCTTGCTTTCTTACCACATCATTCTTATCTTCTTATCTGTTATTTGCTAACCCAGTAAACATTTCTTTCCTCCTATCATAGTAATAACATTTTTGATACATCTTTTAGGGTGTCTGGGAAGAGAGGAGCAATGGTGGTCAAAGTATACAGACAGGCAATGTAAATATTAGGATTTAGGCATTCCTTAGAGAGAGAAGCATTTTAACATTAGGGGGAACGGACATACAAGGGCTGCTTGAAAACTGTGTGTTTAAATTTTTAAAAAAGTATTACAGTAAAAGACACATTGCCATAAATTGCCCTTAAAATACTCCCCCTTGTTCTCAACACACCCCATTTTCTTGCCACTTTCTGAAGCAGTCCAGGAAGTCCTTTTTTGTGTGTCTTTATGAGGTGTGATAAAAAATACAGTGAATGCTGCTGCCAAGTACTGTCCAACAGAAAGGCAGACTCATACAAACATTCCCCTTTGTCCTTATCCACTTTACTCACCTGATCCAGCACTATGGTGGAACTTCTGGCCATTCCTACAAGTCAAAATGACCATGAAAGGCAAATATTTTGAATTAATTCAGGACCTCCAGGCTGCCACAAAAGCTCAACTAAACACAGTAACTATTATCTTAAATAGGAGCAACAACACCCAATAGTAACACCTTATTGCTATTATTTGAATTACAATATTTTACACTGGTTTTCCAATGCCTTATAATCCTTACAACTCAGGTCAATATACTGAAAAATACCTTTAAAATGTTTTGAAAAGATAAGATTTAAGAAGTACTTTGGACTAGTAAATGCTCTTTGGGGAGGTTATAAAGTATTTGAACACATTTGTTAATTTTACTGCATTTTCTCATGTGACATTGTTTTGTATAGCATACTTGTTACATCATTTTTAGCTAAGATTTATGTATAAATTAAAAAATGTTCGCTTCCATATACAATAGCAGTTAATATACTTTATCGGCCTGTAAATTTGATACCTTATACTAAAATTTTCTGGATTTTGAGAGCCTCATACATAAAATCCTCAAAACAGCTCTGAAGCTATTAATGAGCTCAAGGCCTTGTGCTTTTTATCACGAGGGCTACTTCACTTTCTTAGGTTCTGCCAAACACGTCTACCTTGTCAAAGTCAGCTATATTGGACGTTAAGCATTCTGTATGTACATAGCAAAGAAGTCTAGGTTAAAATCCAGACCTCATTCTATTGGAAATCATACATCAAATCCATGACCTATAAATGATGTTATTTTCAAACGGCAAATACAGTGATTCTTTATATGAATATTTTTGATAAACTCCTTCTTTTGTGACAAATCACTATTTAAGTTCCCTAAAAAGCATAATTTATTTCGGCAAAAATGATTTTTCATTGTGTAGAAGGCAATTTTTATTTTCCATCTTTATCCTTTTAAGAAGTTCTTTTTAGGAATCTTATCCTGGGCTTCCTGCTGGCCTTGAGCCTCATTTTTCCCACCCTAATGCCTGACTACTGGACCAATATTTTTAAGAATTTGGCTCTGGGGAGTGCTGTGCTGAGTGACAAATGGATGAAGATGGAGGTTTTATTGATGCATCTGAACCGCATTTAATTTTCCGTGTTGCTTTATCTGTTCCTTCTAGCTCCCAGGATATTTAATTTTGAGGGTTCTGGTTGGGTCGCTGGTACTTTACGCGTTTAGTAATAAGAAACATAATCTGCTTTTTCTGGTAGGATAATAAATCTTCATTTACATTAAGGGCTGCTTACTTCAAAGTGTTTTGCATAGTGTTTTCCTACACCTTCTAAAGGGACAAATCCTCCCTGTAAGCTGTGGCACTGCCCAGGCGGCCTCCGATGACCCGGTCTAGCAACCCGCACCCCACCCGGCAGGAAAGGGGCCAGACCTCGCGCGGCCTTCCATACCGCCGCCGCGCCGCTTCCCTCCCACCGCCCAGGCTCCGGCTCGCAGCCCGCGCCTCAGCCCTCAGCTATAGCGACGCCCCCGCTCCCCTCCGCGGCTCCCCCCGCGTGTCTCGCCAAGCCAGACAGCGGGTAACCGCCGCCTCCGCTGGGGCATCCCGGCTCCATAGGCCTAACGCTCTCCAGACACCTGCTTCTCACTGGCCAATGCCGCTGCCCCTCACCCCGCAGGCCCCTCGGCAATTGGCCCCAAGCCGCAGCTCGTCATCTTCTGGCCTCTCCTAGAGTCCCGCCTCCATTACTGGGTCATTTAAGTTTATCACAAATAAATAAATAAAGGAGGAAATAGAAATGCGTAGAAAGTAAAAGCAGTAGGGAGGGGGTGGGGGCGCGGGGAAGAGGGGCGGAGCGGAGGAGTAAACAACCTAACTTGATCATACCTGTATCGACCAATCAGAGCTCACTCCAGCCCGGCCTGACGGGCTCTCTCGACCAATAGTTTTCCACTTCTCTGGTCACTGAATAATGAGATTAGATTGACCTCTTCAGAGCGGGCGAAGGTGCGGCAAAGAAGGGGAATTTGGAGAGCTATCGACCAATCGACTGTTAGCAAGTCGGAGAGCGAAGTTTCGGCTCTCCAATGGACGTTTGAGATAGCGGATTGGGTCTCTCCTAGTCCAATCGCAAATAGTAGAGATGAGGAAAGGAGTAGTTGGGGGCGGGGACAGAGAGGGACGAGGAAGGCTGAATTTTGTTTATGGGCGGCAACCTCACGAGGGGGTCCCGTCCTTATTGGTTCACTGAAGCGAAGAGTGGCAGGAGAGCAGCCCAATAGTGGGGAAAGCTAGAGGTTCGCTGCGTAAAGCGCCCAATGTGGGCTTTCTGCCGAAGAAGTAGGGGCGGGGGGAAGTTTAGGAGTTGAGGAAAGAAGATTAAAGAGCGTGAGGAGGTAAAGCCAAAAACTCTAATTTGTTGTGGGGCGTGAGGGAGGGGTATATGCATGCCAAGGAGACCAGGCGTCTACGAGGCGCTCGGAATGGGGGGCGGCGGGACAGGAAGGAGGGGAGCGGGGTGGAGCCGGGGCGAGTTACGGAGCGGCGAGCCCGCGGGCCGTGCCCCGCCCCGCGCGCCCCCTCCCCCCCGACGCCCCTCCTCGCGCCGCCTGGGGCTGAGTCGCCGGCCCGCCGCGGCTGCTGGGAGCGCGGGAGCGCGGGAGGGTCCTTGAGTCCTCGGGTCCTCGGGTCCTCGGGTCTGCGGGCGCTGGAGCTGGCGGGCGTCCCGCAGCTGGAACTGTGTCTTCTGCTTCCTTCCCTTGACTCCCGGCGCCTGGAGCTGCTACTCGCAAGAAGAGGAGCAGAGGGCTCTGGCCGGGGCTCGAGAGTTGTTGGCGTGCCCGCTCCGTCCCCCTCCCTGCCCCGAGCGCCCGGGCTTTCGCGGTCTTTGGAGGTCTTCGGATAACCGGGGGCGGGAGGTGACCTAACCGGAGGCGCCTGACCCTTTCCCGCGCCGGGGCTGCCCCGCCCCTCGGCTTCGCGTCTACACTAGAGAGGAGGGGGCGTGGGAAGGGAGGACCCACCTTTCCCTCTTTTCCTTCTTCTTTGAGCCACTCTGGAAACGTTAAAAAATGTCAACGCTTTTTGATATGTGAGACAAAACGGTTGGGAGGTTTTTGAAAGTTTAAATGCGGTCCTTTGGGCCTTGTGGCTTTCAGGTCCTCCAGCCCCCGAAGCCCGTACCCTTTTTAAGGATGCTGAAGAGGCAGGAGGCAGGGATTTTTCTAAAAGTTGTATTGATAAACACACTTGCACAAACATATGCTAGGCACACACATAAACTGTAAACATTAGCGAAAAACACAATATGGCGTACAGCTACACTACCTAGTGCGGTAATCCGCTGATCTCTTAACTCTGAGCCCAGTCGACTGAGGTCACTAGCAGGATGATAGCTCTCCAGTAGAAATTTCAGTGAAACAGGAAGTAATTTGGAAACCTGTGGGTGTAGTACTGTCCTCAGAATCAGCACTGACCTAAGTTGAACATGTTAACCGTTGTAGAGATGTTGAAATTGTCTTTACTATTTTGTACCGTTAAAAATAACCAAAAAGTTGCTGGAGATTTCCCATTACTTGGCCGTGTTTTCATTTCAGCTGATAAAATTATCAGAGGCCACTCATTCCCACAGTGTTTTCAAGTGAACTCTATTCTAAAGTTACTCTTGTAACTTGTTGCCATTGAAAGTTTTAAAACATGTAATTACCATTTCGTAAATAAATTCTGTAACACAACACAGTAACCATTCATTTAAAATTATAAATGGTTTATCTTCAGTTTTGTTCCTGCTCCTAATGTCAAGGAGCCTTTCGCTTTTTTTGTGGGAATAGTTAGGTTCCACCCTTCAACCATATCTACGTCTGGGTAAATTTGACCAATCAAGAACTACCTACTTTGCATTTTTACTTACTAGCAGGAGTAGCTGTTTCTAGGGAAAAAAAGAATTACATTGGTTTTCAGGATGTATCCCAGTTGATGCACAGATAATACATAGATACATAGTGATGCCCTTGTACCATCTCTGAATCTCCCAAGAAAGGTTTTGGAATTGTCTTGAAGAATTGCTGATGTGACTTACTGTCTTTTGCCTAAGATTTAATTCCCAAGATTGTGGTTATGATTTCCAATGAACTCAGTCTTGAAGGATTTTAGGCTTGAAAATACATGATGCTGAAGTAAACTGCTAAGAAGAAAAGTTAGCTGCTCAGTGATTTGAGCAGTTGTTTATTTTTGGTGTTTTGATTTTAAGATCTTATAGACTAGAGGAATACAGGCCTTTGAAATAGGAAGATCAGGTGACAAGTTTGCAGTCTACCAGCCTCCAAAGTACTATTCCTTTGCATGATGACATCCTAATTTTAAAAAACTAGGGAAAGAAATTTAAGACTAAAAATTACCAAGTTTTAGCCATTTCCAGGAAGAAATCTTTAGACTTATGAGTCTGGGTCAGTGTTTTAACAATATTATACTAAGAAAATGTAAATATAGACTTGTGTGTACATTGACCACTGAAAGACAATATGACATTAAATGGAATAATTCAGGATGAGAGAGTTCATGTGAAGGTTATAATGGAGCGGTGTTGTTTAGACAACTGTACTAGATGTGATGCTAATTTCCTATGTAGTAAGGCCAGAAAACATGTGAGATTCACAAATATTCCAACTCCTCTTTGTCAATTTAATAAGAATTTTACCACTTGGTTTAGGAAGAAAATCTAAGGGCAAAGCCATTTTAAATGAATTATTTTTGTCTCATTAGTGAAAGTCTTCAGAAGACTTTCTAGACAAATAGGATTTCCTAGAAAAAAAGGCTAGACTGAATAACTAGGTCATTTTAGAAGAGGAATAAAGGCTACAACTAAATTTCTTTAAGGGATCTATAATCTATAAATGAATTTCAAATTATTCCAAGTATCTTCAGAATCAGTGGTAAGAATTAAAAAAAATTTTTTGAATATAGAAGAGCCTAATGAGCTCTGTTTTATTTTCTGAAATAATCGTGTTTTTTCTGAAATAGATGGTTAAATAATCAATTTGTTCACAACACTGTTCTAGACATTTCGTATATAATAGTGGACAAGAGAGAAAATTGGCAGTCTTTTTGTGGAGCTTATTTACATTGTAATGTAATGATAGTTTTTTTTTTTTTACTTCATATTGCTGGGAAAGATTTTGGGGTGAAATTTTAAAGCCTATCTGCTTTTGAAAGAGCTTATTGGAAGTTTGAGAAAGAGGAATGTGTTTACCAATTGCCAATGATAGGAAACGAAGAGCTTAGTGTAATTTTATTTGTACTTTTTGTTACTGTCATACACTCGTCATATTTTTCAATAAGCTTGACAGAGGGATTATATATTTTTCTGTCTTTGAAAGAAATAAAATGTTTTATATTAAAAAAATCTTGTCTTGAATTTTACTGTAACATTCGTATGTAGCATGGTCTTGTTTGCAAAGTCTGGTGAAACTAATGCTAGAATATTTGTTCATTTTTCTTTAGATTTGTTCTAGTAGTATATCTGAAAAATCAAGTATTTCAATCTTTTTTTTTGTTGTGGTTTTAGCAAGAGAAAATGAAAGTTGTAATTAATTTATAGGTGACGTTGAAGAGGTAGAAAAAGGCCTACAAAAATGCTTTGTTATTTAAACCTTTATTTTAAAAACCCCAAAAGCATTTGATTGGCACTTCTTTGATTTAATAGACCATTTGTAATGCAAGAGGAACATTACAGAAGGTTTTAACATTACTTTAATCATTTAGTCTGTGGGTGGAAAAATCATAGTTTCTAACAGAGAGCAACTTGCTGTTTGGTTAAATGAGTGTATGATTTAACTCTGAGTTTGTGGTTTCATGTAGTAGATGTCTCACCTTTCCAAAACCTACTTTATACTCCTTAAATACCAAATTCTGGTTTTCATTCTTTTCTTTTGTTACTGTGTGAGTCTTACTTTTGCTAGCCAAATACAAATTTGGTCCTGAAGGTGGGATATCTTTTTTTAATACACATTTTTTCTTTCCCCAGTCCTCTCATCCTCTTCTTTTGAGGGTTAGTATCTCCATACCTGTATTAGACTGCTATGTGACTATGTAGCATAATCAAGCTCTTCAGAAAGGGTACGTATTAATGCATTTAAGAGCACTTTGTAATTGCCTCTGGCTATTTGTGTGCAGACTTGTCAGTATATCAAAGCTATGAATAGGAAGATTTAGGAGGAAATAGATTTGTTTTTTCTTTTCTTTTTTTTTTTCCAATACTGGGAATTGAACTCAGGACCTTGTGCTTGCAAGAGACAGGTGCAGTGCCACGGAGCTAAATTCCTGGCCCAGGAGGAAATAGATTTTACAGCTAATGGAATATATTGTTTCAGTTGAGTTTTTAAATAGCAAAATGGTTAATAGAGTATTAAAAACTAAGAACCTTTTCTATTTCTAGTAAGGATGGTTGATTAATGTGTGTTTATATGTGTGTGAGCATATATTTATATGTGAGCAGTTTTGAATAAAGACATTTCATTACTAGAAAAAAGTAATCCCAGTCCTGCCCTATGGTCCTTGACAAGGATGTATTCAAAGGCCCAGGTGATTTTAATCCACTTTTTAATTACTAGAACTTTCCTGTGAATAACACAGAAACAAGATAAGTAAATCTTTGTAAATTTGGTAATACTATTGGACTAAAATGTTATTTTGAAAGTTTTTTAAAAGCGTTCTTACCAAGCAGTCTATAAAATAAGTAAATGTGAATTGAGAAGTTCATACATAAAACCTGAATCCACATAAGAAATAATTGATAATTTCAAAAAGTTATTCATAGTTCAAAAAATAAATCTTGACATTTGTCAAGTTTTTATAGTAATAAAATAAGGATGACTAATTCTATTCATATTCATATTTGTAAGGTAAGTCTAAGCATGTGTATGGAGCATTTTAAGTCAAAATTTGGGGTGTTATTGGCTAGGCACAGTCATTTCTTTGCCAGAGATATGAGGCTGTGTGAGGGCTAACCATCTGTCAAGTGATAAAGACAAAGAAAGGTTTTAATATACTAGTCTAAAATGTCCACAAACTTGTTTTGAATTGTACTATCGTTTTGTTTTGGCCTTCATACTGTGTTGAATATACACTGGGTCAGTCACCCCACTTTGTTTTATGAACAAACGATTCGAG